CCCTTCTTCAGAAAATATTTTCTGAAGAAGGGTCTAGGCCCGAAACGGCAGCTTTCCTACTCCTCTGATGCTGCTTGGCCTGCTGTGTTCATTCAGCTCTACACCTTGTTACCTTATTCCACGGATGCTCCATGACTGCCTGAACATTTCCAGCAATTACTGATTTCTGTTCCAAACCATGTTGAATTACAAAAGTTTCAAGGAGGAGCATTTACTATTGATAGGTGATTCTGATGTATGTCACTGGTAGATTTATTGTGAGAAAGTATTTCCCTCACTCCCATCCCAGTATTTGCTCTTTAGATATAGCAACACCAGTCAAATTCGAACTAGTAACATAGGTCAATAGTCACATCAGGAGAGAGCTGAACAGGTGACATTGAGCTGCCGTCTTCCTTGATGAATGTTTAGGAATAAGTTGATCATTTCCTGGTAATTGTCCATACTTGAACAGTCTTTTAAAAGCTTGGTTTCACAAACGAACATAGAGGAATTTGAAAGCTTTGTAGATTTTTATTCAGAACCATTGGGTTGCTGACCTAGCGCTAATTTGAACAGGGCTGAAATTCCAGACTAAGATTAGAAACAGTTTAAAAACGGTACTCGCATTTAAAGTTTATTGCAGCAATTATAGAAATTGCATAAAAGATTCAAATTACATGCAACATGTTGCATTTTTCAACCGGGAAATTAAATGCAATTATAAATTGTTGGTATACAGTTGTTTATTTTGCTAAGCGTAAACAAATTTGATGGCAGTAATATCTAATTTATATGTGATCTCAACAATGGTCATATTCATTTGACAAGAGCAAAATGCTGCCAATGCTGGAAATCTGAAATTTCATTTTTATAGTGTCTTTAACATGGTAAAGTTTCTTATCCGCAGTTCACAGAGCACAAGGAAAAAAAAAAATATCGAGTCACATAAATATCAGGAAAGGGAATGAAGGCTCAAAAAAAGAGGTTTTAAAAAGGAGCATCTTTGAAGGAAGAAAGGTTAGAATGGCAGGGAAATCTAGTGAGGGAAATTCAGAGCCTTAGGGCCTAAGTAACAAAGGCATAACTCTAATGGTAGAATGATAAAAACAGTGGCTGTGGAATATCCAGAATTAAAACAACACAGAATTCTCATAGGATTGTAAGACCAGAGAAGGTTATAAAGAAAGAAAGAGGCACAGCCATATGGGGTCTTGAACACAAGCATGAGAATTTCAAAATCAAGATGTTAATGGACTAAAGTCATTGTAGCTTAGAGAAGATGGGTGAATGGGATTGCTGTGGATCTTATTTTAAAGTTTACATTGTAAATTACTGTGTGTGGTGAAAATATTTAGATCAACATCAGGTGTATTTATGTATGATTTATGGCTTACTGGTAATGCATTAGCTGCTGAGACAGCAGGTTGTGATTTCCAGTCCTGCTCTAGCAGATTTGACCAAAAAATCTAGACTGTGTAGAGGAGTACATGAGGGTACCTGCACTGTCTGAGGTGCTGTTATTTGAGACCAAAGATAAACTAGCACCGAGACTGTCAGCTCAAGTGAATGTAAAAGATCCTATGGCACTACTTTGATGACGATCAATGCACTTCCTTGTGTCCCGATCAATTCTTATCTACGGTCAAGTATGACCAAAAGAAATTTTTCTTCTCAATTTCAACCTGGATTATTTGAGGGTAATCAAACTATGGCCTGTACTGTGACTTAAGAATAGGAGAAGGTGAGGAGACAGACCCTAAATCTACTTAAGGTGGAATTGAGATCAAAGTCCACGTTGTTGGTGATATTCTGAATCATATGCAAGTTATATTTCGAACTCAGCTAACTATATCCTGCTGCCAATCAGACTATCTGGTTATTATTAAATTGGTTAGAACTTACAGTGTAAAAATTGATGTTGGAGAAAGAAATGGGTCATTGGTTGTGGGATATCCTGAGGTCATGAAAAGCATGATATAAATTCAAGTATCTTGTCTTGCCATGAGTGTGTTAGAAAACAAAATTCATCAACATAAGTTACAAAATGTCAAATCTTGCCATATTTTGCAGCTAATTATATTTGCAAATTTATGAACTCTTGCAGTTTTGTTAAACTGTCATAATGTATTTATTTCACAACTTTAAAATGCTCTTTTCAGGTGATCTGTGTTTGTGAGGAAGGGACTTTGAGATTTTTGAGCATTTAGCAGCAAGTTAAATGCAATGATTTGTTCTCAACAAATAGTATCCTGTGTTGGCTTCAATACTGTATTGCTTTAATTAACTTGGTGTCAAATTTTGTTTGGTATCAGTCCTGTGAAGCGCCTTACACACTTTATTTCTTAAAGGTGTTGTACAAATGCAAGATAGTCACTTATCCATGAAATACTCATTGACCAATGTGCAGTCAGTGAGGACTACACTTTTAAAGCTTTAATGTTCATTTAACAAAGTGAAAAATTTACAGCTTCATTCCGTCAGAAAAGCCAATATCAGAGCTTGGTTAGACATGCAGTTTACACGAGCTCTGAAGAATACAATGTGCTTGCTAACCCAGGCTATTAATTATTTAAATAGTGTTAGAAAACCCTTGTTATAATGTATCATTCGCTACACAGACTGTTTACTAGATAGTACTGACATACACACATTATTCCTTCAATCACATCATCATTTATTTAGTGCCTTCAGAAGCCTTCACCTTTGACAGTGTCGACCCTTTTAATAATTACTGTGCCTGGTATTCCCAGAGTGTCTCCCATTCAAACACTCAGCAAACCTGAGTTTGCTTAGTTTTTAAGATCAGACGTTTTCAGACAACTATGCCCATAAGCTACCAGTTTGTCTATTCACACTGCATTTCTAACATTGCTGAAGTCGATATCTACAAATCAGAAGATCTTTCAGCCCCTTCAGGCTTGTTCCTTTATTTAGTTAGATCACTACTTCATCTAACTGCATTTGTACCATATTCCTTATAGTGTTACCTAAAAACAATCCGTATACTGTGACATATTGCTGGTAATTAAGGACAATGTCTCTCAAACAAATGGCACATTCTTGTCAGAAAAATTTTCATCAATATTTGCTCTGTTGGGACAAGTGTAGTTTTACATTCTCATGGTACAAGTAATTTCAAAAGTGCTTGTGATTCAAGTTTTAGGTATGCAGGTAGTAGTCATGGGGTGTGGAAGGTATTTTAATCTGCTGGGCTGTCACATTATGCAACAAGACTTTTTTTTAAGCAATTGCTTTTATTCAGACTTTTTTTTTGCTGCATGGCCACTGCTATGTTTCATTAATGCAACTCCAACCAGGTATCAAATAAACATACAGAGCTAGATGGTAGGGCACAATTAATGTAGAATTCCCATCCTAAGTGGCTCATTTGAGGTAAGGGTGGGGAGGAGAGCTGACCTCTGATCAGGCTGTAATAGTTATGGTGGTTCTTGTCAAAGGAGGTCCATGATGTTAAAAATATTGTCTTGTCCCAATGTCTGTGAAATATGTGCATAAATTTTGCTTGTTCATTCAGAAAAAGCAAAAATATCTTTCTCATTATTTTGTGCTCCTGAACAACATCATTCAGCATTGTTATATAAGGGGTAAGTGTTCCCTTCATCTGTTCTGCCTGTGTCCATGAGGACTGAGGCGATTAGCATGATTTGTTTGCAATCTGCCCTGTACCTTTTAAGATCAACAAATTTTAATTTACTTGCTCAGAGATACTAGAACAGGTGGAACGTGAACCCGAGCCTTCCGACCTTGATGCTTCATGATTATACTTATGCTCCTCAAAGATGTGCGAAGTGTCATTAGGGATGGACAAATATTGGCCTTGCCAGCACACTCACATCCCGAGAAAAATGTGAAAAAGTGCATCTCTATAAAACAAACTGCTTAGAGGAGCAGTCTTTGCTTGGAAATTTCAAAACTGAATTCAGTAATCTAAAGCCATATTGATATCTGAATCTGGCTAAATTTAACAAAAATGAACATTTAAAAAGGTGTCAAAATGAATATTTAGAATTAGTTTCTGCAATTTTTATCAGCTGTTTTCACTTTCAGAGGTGCAGTTTAATGAGTCCAGATTTTTTTGTTTATCCTGAAAAGTAGGTTGCTCACCATCTATTTGCCCCTGGGATCTGAGTTTGAAAATCTGCCCAAATTGACTGGATTACAGAATCCCTGCAGGGTGCAAGGGCTTAAAGTGATACAAACACAGAGAATGCTGGGGAAACTCTACAAATCTAGTAGTACCTGCAGAGAGAGAAACAGAGTTAATGTTTCGCATCCAGTATGAAGAGTCATACCAGAAGACTATATAAGCTGTGAACCCAGATACATGAGCAATAGGGTTCAGACTGCTGAAACATATTTCACATTGGTCCCTGCAGCCATGGGAGATGCATGAGGGTTCCAAACATCTGTCTAGGCTGGGTTTGAACAAAAGGCAACAGGATAGCACCAATCTGACTCTGCAGATTTTAATTTAAATAGACCTTCTCTCAACAAGTACCCATTCAAAATGATAAAAGATTGCACACATTGTTTGAAAGGGTTATGCAGTCAAGACTTGAAGTTTTGGCCAGAATTAAACTTTTTCTTTTAAAAAAAAGAACTAGCTTTTCATCAAATTTGTCTAACCACTGTAATCTTATTGCTTTTAAAGGTGGTCAGCATTACGACCAGAATCAAACCATTCTCAGCAGATTTGATGAGGTTCAACAAACACAAAGATGGGACCTAGAAATCCTTTGATTCATTCCTCGTGGAAACAGGAAATCAAACACACAAGGCACTTTTGAAAGATTGTGAACCTTTTCATTTTACTATCAGTAGTGCAATATTTCACTTTTAAGTGAACGCCAGACACAAAAAATTGGAATTCATGGCAAGACTGGTGGGAAAGTCATCTCCACTAAATGTTTACTTCTAAGCAAGTACTGCTCACTCTATGCAACGTAACCAAATCTGATGTAGTGTCTGAAGTCTTTATCATTTTTCAAGATTAGTTCATATATTGGCAGCAGGGACTGGTTGCTATTGTTTCAGTAACAAAATGAAACATTCTCATTCCTGGTGTAAACCTATTTTGTTTTAAAAGAAACAGGTATTTATACTTGATAAACACTGTGCTCACTCTATGGTTTTATTGAACATCGGAAGGCTTGTTTATTGTTTGGGTTTAATGTCTTCTATTAGTGACGCAGCATATTAGGATTGTTTAAGTATGTTTCTTCTCAAAAGCAAAACCAGACCAACACCACTTGTCTGGTGTAATTGCTGTACGTATCAATCAAGTCATATCCAATTCCCTTAATTTCAAAGAAGTTATTCACACAGTGGAGAAAATAAGATTGAATATCAATAACATTGAATGCCATAATTAATGTAAATGGTAACATCTACATTTCAGAGTATTATATAGCATGTTATTCTCATCTTGAAGGTCATAAGATAAAATGTTGGTGAACAGGTTACTGTTTTATTGCACCATGACATCCTTGCAGATAAGCTTAAATACTTTATGTAGCAAGCACTATGCCACTGTCTCCTGGTTTGGTAAAAACATGAAAGTATTTATAAGAAACATTTAGTCAGATGACATGGACATGAGACTCTCATGAAATTTACAGCAACTGTGCTCTCTATTTTTAAATCAATTAACAGAAGTCAATTCATTTTAGTTTCTAAGGCAATTTAAGAACTGTCCTTTGAAACAGTGTTGCTCCCAGTTGGATTTCTTGATTTCAATTTAGAGTTTTAAATTACTGCCAATATGTCTAGTGTTTGCATTAGTAACATATTCTATACAGTTACAACTTTTAGTAACACAAAGATTTAAAAATAAAACATTCCAAAGAACTACCCAACAACAGGTCCTACTGAAAGTGATGGTAGCATGGTGGCTTTGGTGTTATATCACTTCTGCTTGTGCCACATATTGAGACATGTTACTGGCAGGCCAGGATTTGTTTTATGTTAGAGAATCAGTAGATGTTTATAAACTGCTGTTTTGTTTGATAATTGCATCAAGGTTTGTAATCTGTATCAGTTGCAGCAATTTGTAATTTGATAATTTTTTAACCTTTTAATTGATCATGTTAAGTATACAGAACTTCTATCAGATGCTTTATTGATAGTTTGAGGTAATGGGAATAACTTGAGAACTGTATCAGTGTGGTGGTATAGTTTTACTCTGAGATTTTATGCTGTCTAAATTTACCCCAATTCCTTGTTTTCACCAGCTGAACTATTGTTACACTAGTTCTTGACAACTGTTTTGATGAATGGTGGACTGTATTTTATTACCCCATTTATTACGGACAGCAGCTGCACTACTGTTTTCATTTCAAGGTACTGAACCATGTTTATGTAACGACTTTAAATAAAATGTACAACGTTTTGAGTTAATTGCTGGAGACAATGTTTATTGCAGCCATTCAAAATAGAAATAAGCAAACTAAAATATCAAAAACTGGTCTGTACAGATCTTCAACTCCTATTATAAACAGTCTTTACTTCTATCAATTACAGTCTTCCCTCGTGCGTGACCACCTTCCAGTTTCAGGAAGGCCTTGGGTACTTCAGAGAATGAGAAAATCTGTTCAACAACAGGCCGAATCTAAAATAAGATAAAGAGGATAAAGAAATTACTTCTGCCAATTACTCAAAAGTCTTACAATGTAAACAATTGTTTCACTTATCACAGCAAATAGTTCTTACTCCGGTTGCAGGAGGAGTGTGAGGTTGCAATGAGGCGATTTACAGAAGTAAAACATTGCACTGCAAGAAGTCATTGAGCTTATTACATTATAAATTGGAGGGAGCTTCTACGCGACATACACAAATTCTCTTAGCATTAGATTTCAAACTCATCGGCTGCTTTCAGGTACTAGATACCCATAAAACCCTACCTGTAGATATGGCATCTTTGCACAGCAGAAAATTCTGGCAAAAATCAAACTCCTTTCAGGTTGTAACCCGTTTAGATTATACACTGGTCTCAACCATCAACACTGTCATTTGAACAAAAAACATTAATTCCAGCTTGTGCTGCCATTCAATCCACATCTTAATTAGCCACCTTAATCGTGTATCCTATAATATTCTACAAGTGAATCTATCCCAGTTTCATTTTCCATTCACTTAGCTTCAACAGCTTTTGGCAGGGAATGAATTCCAGATATTCATCTACCCTTTGTGCACATACTTCTTGATGCCATGTCTGAAATGGCCTGGCTTCAATTTTAAAGTGTCCCTTAATTCAAGTTACCCAAAGTGTGGAAATAATGTCCATCTACCTCTGGCTCAGTTCGTAGTATGCTTACCTGTGAATCACAAGATTCTGGGATCAGGTCCGGCTGCAGGGTTTGAGCATAAAAGTAAAAGTTGACACTGCAGAACAGTAAGTGTTGCACTACCAGAGCATTGGGCTTATGGTGAACACATGAGCATTAAATGAGGCCACTTCCATGCTTAGTTGGATGCAAGATACCCCATGGCACTAAACTGAAGACATTCACAAAAATTATCCCCAGTCTCCTGGCCAATAATTGTCCTTCAATCTATACCACCCAAAACAAATTTACCAGTTATTATCATATTGCTGTTTTTGGGAGTTTGCTGCAAACATGGTAGAACACTGCTGAAGCTTCAATGGCCATAAAGTACTTTGAAATCTAAAGTACATTTGTTACGTAAGCTGCTATAATATGTAATATAATAATTCTACCCAACTGTTTAATCATCCCTGAAACGTCTGGACACACAATTATACAAACCTAATTTATGTAACCTTCTCTCACAATTTAGCAAAAGAAAAAAAACAACTGTGGATGCTGGAAACCAAAAAAAAAACCTGAACCCTAAACGTTAACTCTGCTTTCTCTCCAGAGATGCTTCCAGATCCGCTGAGAATTTCCAGCAATTTCTGATCTAGAGTCATAGAGATGTACAGCATGGAACCAGATCCTTCTGTTTCAGTTTTCCTAAATTAATCTAGTTCCATGTGCCAGCATTTGGCCCATATCCCTCTAAACCCTTCCTATTCATACACCCATCCAGATGCCTTTTAAATGTTGTAATTGTACCAGGCTCCAACAGTTCCTCTGGCAGTTCATTCTGTCTACGCACCACCCTCTGTGTGAAAAAGTTGCCCCTCGGGCCTTTTTTGTATCTTTCTCCTCTCACCTTAAACCAAAGCCCTTTAGTTTTGGACTCCCTCATCCTGGGATGAAGACCTTGGCTAGTCACCCTATCGATGTGCCTCATGATTTTATAAACCTCCATAAGATCACCCCTCAACCTCTGATGCTCCAGAGAAAATAGCCCTAACATATTCAGCCTGTCACTATAGCTCAAACCCTCCAACCCTGGCAACATCCTTGTAAATCTTTTCTGCGCCTTTCAATTGTAACAACATATTTCCTATAGCAGGGAGATCAGAGTTGAATGCAGTATTCAAAAAGTGGCTTAACCAATGTCCTGTATAACCGTAATATGACATCGCAACTCCTATACTCAATGCACTGACCAATTAAGACAAGTGTATGAATCACCTTCTTCACTATCCTGTCTACCTGTGACTCCACCTTCAAGGAATTATGAGCCTGCACCCCAAGGCCTCTGTTTGGCAACACTCTCCAGGACCCTACCATTAAGTGTATGAGTCATATCCTGATTTGCCTTACCAAAATGCAACACATCACAGTTATCGAAATTAAACTCCATCTGCCACTCCTTGGCCCATCAGATCAAGGTCCTATTGTACTCAGATAACTTTCTTCGCTCTCCACTACACCACCAATTCTGGTGTCATCTGCAAACTTATTAAACGTTCCTCTGATATTCACATCCAAATCATTTACATAAATGACAAAAAGCAGAGGACCCAGCACTGATCCTTGCAGCATATCACTGGTCACAGACTCCAGTCCAAAAAACAAATAGATGAATAAAGATATTGAGGTTCTAGTCATGAATAAAAGTGAATCTTATTTTAGATATACACAACTTGGTTCAATTGAACCTCTCTATCAATATAAAGAGTGTAGGGGCATTCTTAAGAAAGAAATCAGGAAGGCAAAGAGGGGACATGGGATAGCATTGACAGATAAGGTTAAGGATAATCCAAAGAGATTCCACAAATACATTAAGAGCAAAAGGGTAACGAGAGAGAGAGGGTAGGGCCTCTTAAAGATCAAGGAGGTCATCTTTGTGTTGAACCCCAGGAGATTGGAGAGATGTTAAATTAATATTTTGTGTCAGTTTTTACTGTGGAGAAAGAAATGGAGTCCGGAGAAATAAACTGTGATGTTTTAAAAACAGTTCACATTACAAAACAGGAAATTTGGGAGGTACTAGAGAATATAAAGGTGGATAAATCTCCAGGACCTTATTTAATGAACATTGTGGGAAGTAAGGGAGAAAATTGCGAGATTCCTTGCCAAAACATTTGCGTCATTTATCCGGGTAAGGGACCTCTTGATTTGAAGGTAGCTAATGTTGTACCTTTGTTTTAAAAAGGTTGTAAGGAGAATCTGGTGAACCATAGACCTGTGAGTCTGACTTCAGTTGTGGCTAAATTGTTGGAGGTGATTATAAAAGATAGGATTTATGGACATTTAGAGAGGCAAAAATTGATTCGGGTTAGTCAGCATGGTTTTGTGTGAAGAAAATCATGCCTCACAAACTTGATTGAGTTTTTTCAGCAAGTTACCGAAAGATTGATGATGGCAGAGCAGTTGACATTATTTGTTTGGGTTTTAGTAAAGCCTTCCCGCCAGGGCTGTGTCTGACTCTGGCGGGGCTGATCCAAGGACCTCACTAAACCATCCAATTGGTAGTAGTGATGGGCTGTGTGTATAAAGGGCAGGGACTTAATCAACGCAAGCTTATGACCCACACTTACAGGGAATTCCTCATTCATGGGAAATAACTGCAATTCCCAATCCCCATCACTAATGGGGTTCCGCATGGTAGACTAATTGGTAAATGCAGGCCACATGGGATTCAGGGTGAGCTGCCGATTGGATACATAATTGGCTTAACAGCAGGAGACAGAGGGTAATGGTGGAGGGTGGCTTTTCAGACTGGAGGCCTGTCACCACTAGGTTTACACAGGGATCAGTTCCGGGCCCTGTTTTGTTTGTCATTTATATAAGTGATTTGGATGAGAATACTGCTTGGTAAGTTTGCAGACGACACCAAAATTGGTGGCATTGTAGACAGTGAAGAAGATTTTCTAATATTACAGAGGGATCTTGATCAAGTGGGTCAATGGGCTGAAAAATGGCAGATGGAGCTCAGTGTGGATAAATGTGAGGTATTACATTTTGGTAGAACTTATACAATTAATGGTAGGGCCTTGGGTAGGGTTGTAGAACAGAGGGACCTAGGGGTGCAGGTTCATAATTCCTTGAAGTCTGCGTCACATATAGACAGGATGGTTAAAAAGGCATTTGGCACGTTTGCCTTCATTGCTTGGTCTTTTGAATAGAGGAGTTGGGAAGTTATGCTAAGGTTGTATAGGACACTGGTGAGGCCTCTTCTGGGATACTGTGTCCAGTTCTGGTCACCCAATTATAAGAAGGATATTATCAAGCTGGAGAGGGTTCAGAAGAGATTTACCAAGATGTTGCGGGTGTGGAAGGTTTGAGTTATGAAGAAAAGCTGGATAGGCTGGGACATTTTTCACTGGAGCGTAGGAGGTTGAAAGGTGACCTGACAGAAGTTTATAAAATAATGAGAGGTATAGAGTTTGTGGTAGTTGTGTTTTCCCTAGGATGGGTGATTTCAAGACTAGGGAGCACATTTTTAAGGTGAGAGGAGAGAGATTTAAAAAAAAAAGACATGAGGCAATTTTTTTTTTTTTTACACAGAGGGTTGTTCGCATGTGGAATGAACTTCCTGAGGATGCGGATACAATTACAACATTTAAAAGACATTTGGATAGGTACATGAATAGGAAAGGACTGGAGGGATATGGGCCAGGAGCAGGCGGGTGGGACTAGTTTAGTTTGGGATTGTGTTCAGCATGGACTGGTGGGTCTGTTTCCATGCTGTATGACTCTATGACTCACCAACCTCTGTCTCCCACCTTCAAGCCAATTTTGTATCCAAAATGGCCAGCTCTCCCTGAATTCCATGTAATCTAACCTTACTAATCAGTCTACCATGTGGAATGTACCCCTTGTTGAAGTCGATTTGGACAACGTCCACCGTTCTGCCTTCATCAACCTTCTTTGTCACTTCTTCAAAAATCTCAATCAAGTTAGTAAGACACAATTTCCCATGCACAAAGCCATGTACATGTCCAAATACATGTAAATCCTGTTCCTCAGAATTCCCTCCAACAACCTACACTGTCGTAAGGCTGTGGTCTATAGTTCCCTGGCTTTTCCTTACCATCT